TAATTTCGTCGGAATGTTGGTCCATCGGAAGTCGTCGGAATTTCGTCGGTGTGTCTGACGAAATTCCGAGAAAATATTTTTTTCCGACGAAATAATTCCGACGACCTATTTCCTCAGAATGTCCTCGGAATACGTCTATTCCGACGATATTCCGAGGAAATTGGCCCTCGGAATATCGCTGTTTTCTTGTAGTGATATATAATAAAAATGAAATATTTCTAAAAGAAATATTTCATTTTTACTATATATGTTATTTGGAAAAAGGTAAAAAAAACGACATAAAAATCATAATCTTAAAATCTAACAATTCATTAAGGGTATCTATGTAATCAATCATCGTTAGAGTTAACGTGAGCGCGACACGTAAGAAACTGACTTATTAAATAATATTATAGAGATAACTCAGTTGAAGTTCAAACAAAAAAAGACAATGATTCATAATTGAGAAACATGTGTCCTTCAACGTGTCTTCGCTTGATCACCTACAAAATTTCACTGAAGCACTGCTGAGAATACTCCTTCCATGTCACCGTCGAGGTTAAAGAAAGCTCCGCTAGTCTGCTAGATGTGAACGACCGAGAAAGCCTTGAAAGATGTACTTTTACCATAACGTTTTCATAGAGAAAACTCAGATCCTACTGAAACTACATCTAAATCAACAAACTGTACCTAACATCTTAGTTGATTCATTTAGATTAGGAGACTTTACAAAGATTAAAGAAGTAAAGATTTATCCCTTTAATTGAATAACTAAGCATAATCAACAAAAAACAAAAACACCCTCAAAGCTCAAGAAGATGATAAAGTGATTAAAAAACAAACAAAAGTCGCCATGCAAAGTTACGATTCGATATACCGAATGATACAACAAAAAAAGAAATAGAAAATATGGCAACATGCGGCAAGTTGCTTATCGGCCCCTTGAAAACACTTTCAACTTAAGTTGAAACCAGAGAGAAGTTGGAGCGTTTATAAGAATGAATAATTTAGTTTTTTACCTTAATTAGGTAAATAAAATTGGTAGGTTAAGATGCATAAGATATCCACAAAGTATCTCACCAACACTTTTTTTTTTTTTGTGCTAATACTCTCATCAATCCTTGATACTAGACTTTTTGGTTTATTGAATAAGTAAAGACTCTAAGAGACTTTACGAGATGTCCTTTAATGTTTTTAGTTAAAAGATAAAAGACTTTCTGATAAAGAACTCAATTTAGGGACCATCGATAATGATGTTCTAACAAATCGCCCCTCTTGATGGTGTAAATATACTATTCAATTCATCAGTGGAAACGTCCCATTTGCAATCTCACCGGATGGGCTTAGTATACTTACCTACTTATACGATATTGAATTGAAAATAGCTTCAACAATAGAACTCAACTAGTTCGACAAAAAACTGAGGACGATTTAAAACATTTTTCTTTTGTCCGCAGAAAATTCACCTTTAGCCTAGGTATTAAGAAAATACGCTAGTAATAGTTTGATGACTTTTTGAGCTAAAGAGTTATAGTTTGTAGTTTACAAAAAAAAAAGAGTTATAGTTTGCAACAACATGATAATTTTTGCAAGCTAAAAAGGAAGAAAACATGATAGTTCCTTTTTTTAACGGCTAAGATATATAGAGTGTGATTGGTTAGACTGTATGAAGTGAATTAACTTTAATTTTTACCTACATTTTTCTAAAATCACCAATCATGCTTTATATTGATTTTCAAAACTATAGTAAAAAATAAAAAATAGTTGTGACAGCCTTATTTTCTAAACTATAACTTTTAGTTGTAAGAAATATATGATGTACCAATAAATTTTAAAGTTACATCATTTAAAACAAAACAAAAAAAAAATCTTACAAATTAAATCTTAGTGATTGAAGTCTAGTAATTTTTTACATTTACGACCGAACTAATCATCTCCATGAAGTATATAAGAACTTCTGAAATTGTTTTAAGCGAGATGCAACAATTACAAATCATTTAAGTATTACAAATCAATAGCGAAGTAGGACATTGTAGTCTACTGAATTATGTCTTAGTAAAAAAAAAAAAGAATTATGTCAGCACTTTAAATGTGGACATAAAGAAATCAACCCTTTGTATTTGACATAAAAAATACAAATCAACCCTAACAAAATTTTGCTATTATGATACAAAGGGTTGATTTCTGTATGTTCTAGATTCAGACGTATTTTAGATTAGATTTTCTAATTTTTTTTTAAAAGCCAATTTATACTAGAAATAGATCATGAACTTAAATTCCAGAATTCTCACTCTTCAAAAAAGTTTTACTACATAGTAATATAATCCTAAACATGTTAAATGGCCAAAATATACCATTTAACAAAAATTATTGCTTGGATGATATAATCAAATTTTATGGAAAAACTAAAGCTGTAATAATATAAGGAAATAGCATTAGAGTTTTTACATTCACATGATTCGAAGTGAATTGCTGAGATTTGGGAGAGTACCGAACTCGAAAGATGTATATAGCACGTGAATAACGAGTGAAAGAACTTCGTTGGTATAATTGGTGAGAGAGAGAGAGTAATTTTGACCCAAAAAAGAAAGAGGGAAGTAGCCAACCATACCTAATACATGCTTCAATTAGTGATTTGCACATAAGTTCACATCAGTTGTATCTCTTATACACTTTAAGAGGTAATTAGACAAAAATAACTTTGATTTAAGACAAAATCTTTTGTTTTCTACAATAACATCGCTGACACCCTTGTTTACTCAAATGTTTGCTTTTTTTTTTTTTTAAATCAGTTTTATGATTTTATTTCCCTATTCTCATCTCTTTTTTTTATCAATCAAGCTTTTTTTTTAAAAAAAAATTAAAATTCAAAACTTGATTTATTGCTGTCTTCTACTAAGATTCAAAAAGAATTTGATAAATTTTTACTAAAATTCACACAAAGATTGAAAACCTATGTTAACATCTCTGATACATGTATTTGTTAACAACTAACACCTATGTTAACATTTTTGATATTTGTTAGCAACTAACGTCTCTATTAACACTTTTGGTATATGTATTTGTTAACAGCTAACATCTACAAATATTTGTTAACAGCTAATATCTATGTTAACATCTACAATATTTGTTAACATATTTTATGTTATATAGTTAAACAACAGAAAACTTCATAATAAAATTCTGAAACATTATTATTCTTTGATAAACAAAAAAAATAGTTTGTTTCTATAAGATCAATTTCATGGAAATTCAGAAAAAGAAAAAAAAGTTTGGAGAAAACAAATTATAAAATAGAAAGAAAATACGTAAAAAAAAACTTATAAAAAAATTTCATCTACAAAATAGACTAATAGTACACACCCATGTCAGGTACAGCTCCTAAAATAGGGGTGAAATAATTCAAAAATAATTACTCACATTATGGGCAAGTGGTTAATATAGACCTCCATTTGAGACAATTTCACAAATTATCTCAAAAAGAAAAGAGAGAGACAGTAACAAAGGGTCGTCGGAATTTTGTAAAACATGATTAATGGTGTCATGGGCCGTAATTGTCACTAACCCTAGTCGTCTCTATCTTCTCTAGTTACCTTTTTTGAACATATCTCTAATTAATTTTATTTATCTTTTGGAAAGTCATAAGTTGTGTCAAGGATCACTGTTTCAGAAATGAAAATTATAAAAACACTGATGGTAACTAAATTTTGGAGACATGTTGAAGTACGAACAAGCTAGTCTACCATATCTTATGAAAATCCATAATTCAAGTATTATTCATTTTCTTGTACTCTGAAATTTGAATATTTAAATATTCTTTATACATTATTTAAGAAATTATTTGACATCACTAAAATATGTGACATAGCATAGTATAAATAGTGATATAATTTATGATTAAATGTAACATGCACAATTACATTTAATGTTGATTTCTAATTTTGGTAATTTTTAGAATATTGTAATAATTCATTCATCATCATTATAAACATATTCAAATATAATAGAAATAAAAAATATTCTAGAAATTTTAATATATCATTTAACTCTTTTTTATGATGATACAATTTTATTACTAAAAAGAATTTTCAAAATTTTATACAATTTGTTTTAAAAATATAAATTTCTATCCGTAATACCATTTTTTGTATCTACAGATTTAGAAATTCTGTTTAGTTTTCTTTTTTATTAATTATCATTTTTATATTAATTCATTTTATTATATATGAGTTGATTTAATGTATCTTACACAAAATAAATAGATAAAATATCTAAGATTATATATAATTTTAAATATATAATATATATTTATATAACTTGCATAAATAAATTGTATATTTTATCTTAATTTTAAGTTTAACTAAATCAATATTTTTTTGTAAAAAAAAAAGAAATCAATATTTATACTAAGATATTCTTACAAAATAATAAAATCTAAAATATTAACCAATTTTTTTATTTTAAAATATAGTATAAATTTAAAATTGTTATCGCTACACATTGTGCACAAAAACACTGGTAAAATGAAAGGATATAAAAAGATCTTGATCTCAATGATGATTTTTCATTCTACTTATTTATTTATTTTGGGGGAGATTTTTACTGGTTGGAATTTTGGATTTCTATTTACGTACAAGTTTTGTTAAAACATAATAACTGAACTGTAAAACATTTTTTTTGTGATGCAATAAATATTTGATGAGTGTCACTTTTTGTTTGGTACAATTTCCTAACTAATCGAAGCTTCCCTCCCTCGTGGAGCACGAGTTGTTTAACTCGAAGACTAAAATAAAAGAAACGAGAAAGTGGTTAGTATTGATTTTTTGTAATCTGTAATGTCCGTATTCAATTGAAAACTGTATTATAAATAAACAAAAATACCGAACATGAAGCCACTCATTCCATCTTCATCTCTATTTCTCAAACTTAAAGGTTACTAGCTTTCTCTCTTCCCTCTTTCTCCTTTTTATTTTCTATCTCAAATCGTTATTTTACAAGCTTATATTTTATTTTAACGAATATCTGTAAAGGAAACTGAATCTACGAGAATATGATAATATTGTTTAAAATATTAACTCTATTTGTTTAAAGTAACGATCTAGTGGAAGTATGGTCAGTGTGTCCTCCACTTAGATTAGTTTCATCATCCACCCTTTTTCAGTGTGGTCAGTGGCAACGATGCATGTATGTTCATCACTCTTCTATAATTTTCGTATGCGTTTCTAATAAAACTATAGGTTAAAAAGAAGCGATGGCGCAAAAGTTGGATGCTCAAGGTGGCCGTGGAGGAGAGCTCTGGGACGATGGTGGTGTTTATAAGAACGTCAAGAAAGTGTATGTCGGTCAAGGTGACTCTGGTGTGGTATACGTCAAATTTGATTACGAGAAAGACGGAAAGATCGTATCACTTGAACATGGGAAGAAGACACTTCTTGGAACAGAGGAGGTAAAAACATTTTATTTATATAACAAAATGATCACGAGAGAGTTTTCTTGATTTTTTTAATTTTTAATTTTATTTTTGTTGTTGCTAGTTTGAGCTTGATCCAGAAGATTACATCACATCTGTGAAAGTCTACTACGAGAAACTATTTGGAACGAGTGTAGAGATCATCACGGCTCTTATCTTCACAACATTTAAGGGAAAAGTTTCTCAGCCATTTGGAATGGCCTCTGGAAAAGAAGCTGTGCTAGGAGGTGGCAAGATTGTTGGATTCCATGGAACTGCTAGTGATGCTATTCATTCCCTCGGAGCCTATGTTATTCCAGGTGGTCCAACCAAACTGGATGCTCAAGGTGGTAGTGGAGGAGAGGTATGGGATGATGGTGGTGTGTACGAGAATGTCAAGAAAGTGTATGTTGGACAAGGTGACTCTGGTGTGGTTTATGTCAAGTTTGATTACGAGAAAGCTGGGAAGATTATATCACTTGAACATGGAAAGAAAACGTTACTTGGAACTGAGGAGGTACATAGATGTTTGTATTCTTTTTTTAACTTTTTGGTAAAATGTTAAGAATATTTTAGCAATTAATGTATTCTTGACTTTGCTCAAGAAAGGTATATATTATTTATTTATTTTTAATACTGAAATTGTTGATGTGGGGGTTTTGCAGTTTGAGCTAGATTCAGATGATTACATTTCATCTGTGAAAGTTTACTACGAGAAACTCTTTGGAACAGAAACAGAGATCATCACGGCTCTTATCTTCACAACATTCAAGGGAAAAGTTTCTCAGCCATTTGGAATGGCCTCTGGAAAAGAAGCTGTGCTAGGAGTTGGCAAAATTGTTGGCTTCCATGGAAGTGCAAGCCATGTGATCCACTCTCTTGGTGCTTATATTGTTCCTACGCTAACACCAGTGATTCCCTCCGATACTATTCCAGCACAAGGTGGAGATGCTGGAGTTGCATGGGAGGATGGTGTTCACGACAGTGTGAAGAAGATATATGTAGGACAGGGTGACTCTTGTGTGACTTATTTCAAGGCTGAGTATGTAAAGGATTCAAAGCCTGTCCTTGGAAGTGATCATGGGAAGAAGTCATTGCTTGGAGCAGAAGAGGTTGTTTTCTTGATTTATTTCATTTAAGTTCATTTAAAACCCTTGGGTTTATTTGAGTATTTAATTGGTTAGC